ATATTTGGGGTCAATACTGGAGTCCCCTGTTAGGAGAACTCCATAGGTATTCTAAACAAGACTAAGTCGTAGTAGTGAATTAAGGTCTCATGTTGGAGTGCTTGCTCACTCTTCACCTTCCGTTGTACTCAAGAAAGAGGCCAACGGAGGTTTGAGAATTGGATTTGCTGCCTGCCAGCACCCCACACTTGCTACTCCCCAAACAATCGACTGCAATGAAACGTACGTCAACCTGAACGCCAGACCCACCCACCCAGCACCAGAAATATGTCATGGCACTGGCTTGCCACCGCTGATGCACTGAGCAACCCACAGTCCAGCCAGAAGCGCCTGAAGAGCAAGTCAGGCAAGTCTTCAAGGGTGAGAGGATTTTAGGTTTTGCCGGATTTGTCAATTACCTGGCAAAGCCCTTCACAAGAGCCTCACTGTTCCGTAGATAATAACAGTAGTAACAACAATATCAGTAAAAAAAATAATAACAACAACAACAATAACAACAATGAGTCAGAATTGCAGACAGCTGCACTGTGCACGCAGGGCGGCACTGCAGCTTGAAAGCCTTCATGCCATGGCGCACAACGGCATAACACCTGAAGCCGCCCTCCAATCCTACTCCGGTTTCCTCGCAGTTGAAACATGCCGCAGTTGGTATGACAGTCGAAAACTTTCCCACTGAGCTCGCCAAAGGCAAGATTCAACATTTGTGACTTGGACAAGGATACAAACACCAAATCTGAGTGTGGAAGGGTGCTACAACTGCACGAACATGCCCCTCATGCTGCACTATTTCACGATAGCCTAAAGGATCTGAAACCTGCCTCCTCAAGGCTCCCTACACCAAGACTCTATGCAGGGCAAGCTGCGGGTGAGCAAAGCCGAATGCTGCTGCTGGTCCCAGCTCACCAGTCACCTTACTCTTGGCCGAATGCAAACATCTTGGATTTCTGCTTGCTCCATAACGCATCCTGTAGTTTCTTTACCGTCTAAGGAAGGCTTGCCTAGGTACCAAGCTGCAGCACAGGAATTGGCCGACCGTGCAGCAAAAAAATGTCACAGCCGGAGCTAAGGCCGTAACCAGAAGCGTGACAAATGAAACAGTGGCTGAGAGGAGGTTGATGTACAACATCTGGTTGTACTTCGTGGTCTTGTGTTCCTGGGGCTTTGCGGGTGCTTTTTTGTCCACATGACAAGATTCCCGAGGACTCTCCTTGAAGAGCTTCTCTTGGAAGGTTGACGTCAAACCGTCGAGGGCCAAGAAGCCGCCAAGCAAGAAAAAGCCCTGAGCCCAAAGGAATGAAAGCAGAAGGCAGGTGGTATATAGGGATAATGGAAAATGAAATGGAAACTACTAGTATAGGCAGTATAGGGTTTAGGGTGGGCAGCTTTCCCGGCTATGGAGGCCCGAGGTGATACATATATTACCCCAATATAACCCTAATATAACCCGTAAACCCTGAATAGTAGTTTCCATTTTATTTTCAATTATCCCGAAATGGACTTCCCTGAAGCCTTGAAGCTGTTGTTGGCATCAACTTTGGAATGCGTTGGTCCTGTCAACAAGTGGCAGTCAAGCAGGTGCAAGCTGTCCCGAACAGCACTTTGCCCCAGCCTGTCATCAGGAACTCGGTGCAGCCCAGGGTGACAGAAAGAGCCACCACCCAATCCCTCGCACCTACTGATGCGCCAGCTGCAAAACAATCCAAACAAGGACGCCAGCAATCAATTTGAAACAAGCTGCTGTATGACTTGCCGGAGATGATCATGCCCCAAATCCTGTTGGGCTGCTTTTCCCGAGACAGATATAAGCCGAGACATCTCACTGCACATACTGCGATCTCAGGCAAGGTTCATGACAGGCATCATCTTGAAGCTCTTCCCAAGCATCTGCACTGCAAAGGAGACATACTTCAAGGCCTGCACAGATGTTTGCCCAACTCCTGAGAGATTGATCGTTCTGTTGACTCTTTTCGCCCCTCCTTCGTGGCCAGATCTACCAAGTCCACAAGGCTTTTGATTTTGGATCATCTTGGTTCACTGCCACTTGCCTCGTACTGGCAGGAGCTGGCGTACACATTGGACAGAGACACAATGAGATATTTCCACAGGGGTGCCTGCGCGAATACTGCACATGCACAAAGCAGACTGTCGCCACACCTTGCAGGACACCCATCTACACCACTCCCTGCTGCACCAACCCGCAACCTCATTCTTCATGGACTCGCCTTTTGCAATTGCCTTAGCTTCTTCAATTCCAGAAAGGATTTCCCACCATGCTCATCACTAGGCGAGTGGCATTGTTTGATTACAGCTTCCTGTCGTTAATACAGACTTCGATATCCCCTAACACGGCTCAAGACGGTTTATCTCAAAAATGCACACCTGCATAGGAAACCCAACATCAATCGTCTGAGCATTCACTGCAAAAACTAGGACATGCTCGCTTGAAACCTCACTCGGTTGCCAAAGCTGCCATGGAGATTGCGAATACCACTGCCGCCAGCCGGTTGCACAGAACCAGGAAGACCTTAAGCATACAAGCAGACAGGAACTAAGCAAGAGCTCAGGATGTATGGCTAAAGATTCTCAGATTTATCAGAATGCGCGAATTCCGCCCTATCTCGCACGAATCCGACGCAAGACGTGCTTTCAGGTACTGACCTTGGCATCGCTCCAGATCAGGGCCGACACAACAGACAAGAGAACAGCCACGAGCACCACTACCGCCACAAGCACAACTTCATCCACTATCTCTTGCTGCCAGTACCTGCTGCAGCTTCTACTGCTGCTAAATACTACTTCTGCTGCTGCTTCGAATATGTCAAAACAAAGCGACCGGCTAGTACGACCAGCACATGCGACTAACACTGTCATCACCAGCACTACCTCCAGAATCCATGATCGACCAAAGATCGGAATATCTGAAGAGGCTTCCGTCGTAAGCAACTGTCATGATGCCCTCCTGCAGCGTCAGGTGAGTCACAGTGTCATCACGAAGGGTCATTATACCTGCTTGTGATTCTGCATGCCGACAACCATGAAAAGCTTGCAGTTCCTGCAGGATGCCATAGGCAACCAATGTGCAAATGATCCCTGCGCCATAGAACCTGGACTTTGGGGACAAGGTTCTTCGAGCAAGTGCAGGTCACAATGCTAATGTAAACCCGTGATGAGTAAACCCCGCTCCCTGTAAGGACCCCAATATTCGGATCCCTATTATAACCCCTATTAATGGGAAGGGGTTTATTAATCATGGGTCTACATTAGCGGTTTAGAGCATTGCCGCAACCCTTGCTTGCACAACCCAGGATCATCAGGCGTGTTAGAGTGGGGTCTTGAGACCCTGCGAAATGAAATTGATTGACACAAGACCAGGCGGAACCAATGCCTAGCAGGCTCTGTTTGGCCCCTTTCGGCTGAAGGCCGTACTAAAAACCCCAAAAAATCCAGAATGTTGAGGAACTCCAATTTTGGGCTCTATGTTAGGTAGGACGTGGCAAGGCGAGCAGCACACACCAGGCCACTGAGGAAGAGCTCAGACCTCTTCTGGGTTCGGGCTTTAGGGCTTAGATTTTAGGGTCTGGAGTGGGGAGTTTAGATGAGTTTAGGGTTTCACGTGTGGGCTCTAGAGGGATGAAGAAGTGCACCTCAAAAATGGCGGGAACTGCCAGAAAAACATCAGTTCTCGAGATGTGCTACAAACTTGTTCGAGGAAAATGTGACTTTCAGTAAACCACTTCCATGAATAGACCTTGAATCCTACATTCATTGGAAACAAGTGCTTGATGTTGTGCTTGAAAAGTGGTTACTGCGTCCCACATTTCGCGAGGTGGTGCAACTACAAGTGGTTCAGGGTATAATGCCTCGGTTAGCTTATGGCCAGCGGCTCTCGCCATGTTCCATGCTTTCGGCACTCTCAACACGAAGGTCCCCAAAAATTCCCGTACCCATGAATCTTGCTACAAAGACCTCTACAAACGGCACCCTCAACCTCTATTCATTTCAGAAGCCTCGACAATCCTCGACATACTCTCCAGGTGCGGCCAGGCCACTCTCTGCCATTGCTTCGATTTGCGGATAGTAAGGAAAGGATCGTGTGACTTTGAGCCAGGCTGTCCCAGACATGGGTCATTTTATCAGGAGGGCTATGGCGGAACCGCACAGGGTAAAATCTCAGATCAGTGATGACAGCTAGTTCCTGGGCACAAAAGACAAGCGGCAGTATTAATCAGGTACAAAGTTGGTCCTAAGTTTAGCAGCTGTCCGGTCTAATTCCTACAGGAGGCAGAACTTCAAGAGAATGGCAAGCCTCTTGGTCCGCCTCGCTGAAGTCATCGATTGTCTCGGCCTGCGGTTTCAAGCAAGATGCAGGCTACACGGGGCTCTGCGGACAGACCAGCTCCATGCTCCAGAAAATCTAGGCGTGATTATCCGTGTGGCGTGGCCGGGAGCATGAGTGTAGAAGCAGGCCAAAGCTTGCGAATGCTCACAAGAATCCCTGACCCGTGTTGCCTTACGGCGCTCGAAGGTTGTTCCCCGAAGCACGCCGGCATAGCTCCGCCGATAGATTGCCATCGCCAACTTGTGTGAGCGAAGGCTCAGGAGGCAGGTGGCACCATGAGATTGGTTGGGAAGAAGTGTTGCTTCAAAAAAAAGAGGCCTCTGTGGGTCCGGGCAGGCTCTGCGCTTCCCCATGTGCCCTGAAATGCATAAAGGTGTGGCTGCGGGTACGGGCTGCCATTGCGACGACCTTAACATGGCAAAATCTCAGCCTTGCCTCAAGGAAACAAAACCTCCCTGGGTTGTAGAATTCTACGACTGAAAGACCCCTTGAGGTTCCGGAGGTTCAGACAAGCCAGACAGTAACTGCCCAAATACTGAATCAAATCAAGCAGTTGATATGACTTCTTCCAGACTACTTTGCAGACTTCTTCAACATCCACACATACTGGTCTCAGTGCTGTACCAACCTGCCTCTGTTACTGTGAAACTCTGGCGCCGGCATGAGGAACTCCATCTCGCGCTCCGCGAAGTATGGCGCCTCGTGCACTGCCGCGCCAGGTTGCTGCACCTTGCATGCGAGGTTAAACACCTGAAATGATGCAGTAGTTTCCATTTGGTTCTTTATTGTGCCCAATGTTTGCTGAATATTATTTATACAGTAGGCAAGGTACAGCCAGAAAACTTGCACCACTGGCCGTTCTGCCTGTCTGCAGCTCTAGAGCCAGCTACTCTAGTCTTCTCTCCGCCGAACCCTGCACCTTGTCGGCAGAGAAGCGGTGGCGAGGGCCAGAGCTAGTACTGGCCACTGACCTGCCAAACTCAGGGCTTTGGTGATGCCGCTGCCATGGCAGCAAGCAGCATCAAAGCAGCAGCAGCAACAGCAGCAGCAGCAGCAGGAGAAGCAGCATACCAACGGCCCTTTAAGAATGTACAAAATCGTCGAAGTCTAAGACCTTTGCCGGTTGCATGGCGTGGAAGGGCATCCGGAGGTTGTTTTGCCATCTGAAGCTAAGACAATAGCCATACTTACCCTTGCTTCCTTGTTCCTAACAGTCCCAGCAGCATTGTGAGGTGACAGCCATGTTTAGCGATTCAAGCGGATTCGGCAAAAAACAACGAGGACCACGGTGAAGGTCGTACAAGCGTTTAGCAACAAATCTGATGATACTTCGGAATGCAATCAGAGCACGGAAGCCGAACAAGCAGCCATCTGTCGACCATGCACAACATATATATATATGTGAGCAGAGCAGCATAGAATAGTGGCAATCTCGAGTATCTCTACACCATACGCAGGATACTAATCGAAATGAGTGCTGGCACCAGCCCTGACAAAAGATGGTTAGAATGATGATGAAAATAGAAACGCGTGATCTCTCTGAGTCTCCCACCGCTGTCCGTTCGTCAGGCGAGCAAAAATGGAGCTGATGGGCCCCGTGGACTCAGGTCAGGAGACAATGCCAAATCCAAACACATGGCCGAGAGTAGAGTGTGGTTTGCCCAATATGCCGTATCCATTGCTGCTTGCTGTCTGCCACAAAGCTAAGTAAAAAAAGAGGCAGTGGAGTTCTACAGCTCTGCCGAGGTCTGCACTCTCTGCTCGCCTGCCATGGAGAACTTTCTCATCCAGAACTAGAGATGGCATGACCCTCGTGTCATAAAAATGCTCATAGGTGGCGGCATGATGACGTGGGAACTCCTGAGCGATGGACGTAGTCTGTTCCACAGACCATTCAGGAATGCCATGTCCTCACCTGGCATCACCCCCGCTCAGTAGAATCTAGAAGGTTGCCGTCGAGTGCATTTCAGGTTTTCAGCTGAGAACTGCGCAGAGTACTTACAAACAGCGATTTGGGGCACCTGTTGTTTTAAAGGGTTTTGGCACACTGCAGTGCAGTGTTACCAGATCCCTGGCCCGGATGCTCCACATCTCTGCTTCCATAAGTCACCCACTTTGGGTTATCTTTGTGGGATGGTTTTTTGGGGGGAGGCCTTGTTTATTCCGGGTTTGTCGATGCCAGGGTAACTCGATCTCTGCCCGACTTTGCCCCCTACACGATATGGAAGGCAGTGGCTCGGTCAGAGACCCTGGTGAACTTGGCCTGCAAGCAGGGCTCAGGTACTGTCTGCCCAACTTTGACAAGACAAGAGACAAGCAAAGGACTAAACCACCAAAAACAGGCTGGGCGTAGGAGCATGCATTGTTCTCCGAGAAAGTTGGGACAAAACATCGTGAGTCTTCATCAAGCTGTAGCTTGAGGGTTCTGATCTCTCTGACCCCTTGTATTCGACCCATGGAATCATGGCCCTCTCTTCTGTGGGAACTTGGCAGGCTCCTTCTGTCAAACCCTTTTTCCATCTGGCAGACCCTGATCCCGATAAACCTCTCAAAGTCTTCCATATAATCACCGTTTCCATTTTATCCTCGCATCCAGGGCCTTCTGGCGGCAGTGGCGTTGCGCCGTCCTGGTGACACGTAATATGAGCTGGCTTGCTCATGCTGACAGCGTTGCTCTTGCGAACGTGCGAATTACTTACTTCAGACTGATGGAATCCTTGGATCCCGCGTGTAACGCACGAAGCCTTCCCAATTCTCAATGCTTCATGGCAGACCTTTCACGTCTTTTTTGACGTACCTTTGACAGAATGCAGTCGCCAATCTTCAGGAACTCTCAAGCTGCCCCTGATGTCCCGTCCTCTGCATCAGAGTTGTTGCCACCAGCGCGTGACAGCGTACTTAGTGCAACCGCCATAGGCTCGCATGCTACTACAGCCACAAGCGCACTGCTTCCTTCCTAGGCCCGAATCAGCACCACTAACCACTAATCGCCAGCTTGCGACGCACCTGCATCTCGCCAGCTGCTGTCACCAAAGCAGCACTGAGTTCTCGACTCCGCAGTGAAGCGAGAAGACAGTGGATCAACAGGACCTCTCGAAGCCTCAACTAGCGTCTGGCAAGCAAGAAGTAGGAGCTTGTGCACCCTCACACGGTTCACCCTCAGCGCTCCCATGCCTTCCAGCCTTAAGCTAATATCAAGCTTTTCCTGGACAACTTGCAGGATACCGGGAACGAGGGCTTATTGCGCTTTCTGTATCTTTTCTTGCTAGGATGAGATTAGTCTGCATTATCAGCATCCAGGGCGCATGAGCAGATGCAGGATCATCCGCCGAAATCAGAGCCTGCAAAGATGGTGGCCCAAAGTCTGAGGAGTCTTCCAAATGCAAGTGGCCAGTGTCCTTGTAGCCCGACTGCTGCAGGTTGCTTCGGCTTTGCATAAGCGTAGCTCGATGCTCAACAAGCATCATTGCAAAGAGGACCTCGAGCGTCAGCTGCACGAGGAATTCCATCTCCATCTATTGGCCATTCCCCCTCCATAGTTAACAATCCATTGCTCTAGCTCTTTCGTACTGAAGATTGCATGGGGGGGGGGGGGGCAGGGTATACCACGGGAGCCAACTCCAAGCACTGTGTAAGGAGAGCACATAGAGGCAAACCTCAGCAGCACGAAGCACTGGTTCTCTTAGGGGTCCTTGGGATTCTTGGCTGTTACGCGTTTTTTTGGCATGATCGCTCAAAGTCATGAGTACTATCTTCCACTTCAACAGCCACTGACATTGTTCTCATGGTCGTTCATCTTGCATTGTTCTTCACACTTCCTTATGCTGATAGAAGTAGTACTGCTTGAGTGCCAATGTTTGCTGTCGTCATGGCCTCCCATATGTATATAAATATATATTCATGTATATTCATTTGTTCAAGCACTCCGCTTCTCATACACGTATCCGCAAAACTCTCCCCCTGTACCCTACCCCAAACAAATACGTGAGGTCAACAGAACCCGTTCACAAGGACAGCAGTCTTTGTAAAGTTCCTTTTTGTTCAGGGATGTGTAAGAAACCCAGGATGGGGCCAGAGGCCTTATACCATCTGCTGTGGAACTCAAATCCGTACTTAGCCCAAATGACTGCAGAACGTCTCCCCCACACTCAGGTTCGCCGCCGCAAACCCAAACCCTAAACTGAGCTCCTTAAACCTAAACCCAAGAAAGAATCCCTGAACCCAACACCCAAGCCAAAAGCCCTACACCCCAAAGCCTGAGGACTTTGCCAGGAGCTGGTCATTGGTCCAGGCATAGGCTACATAGGGAGCCGTGCCGTAGGAGATGAGGACGAAACCTGTCGGCTTGGCAATTTCTTAACAGGGGAGATTCGTTGGGTATCGCCCCCACCCTGTAATAGTCTATACTAGGGCAACACTAGGGGTTGCATATATTATTTGGATTTTATATCAGGAAGATTATCCAGCTGTTACTGAGTCGGGCGATATCCAATGGATTCCTGAGGAGTAGGGGGCCCCCGGGATGTAAAGGGAACAGGGATTGCAACGGGAATGTGGTGGTCTTTAGTGGTACTGCTGAGAAACCTGCCGGGACCCACTTCTCTTCGATCCCGCTTTCAGCCACAAGTATGTAAGGATGTGCCCGGCATGTGTGGCAAGTGTGTACGGCTCAAAAAAGTCGAGGGGAGCGTGGGACTTTCTCATAAAAAATAGGGGGCTCTCAGGCATCCTGGGTATACAAGGATTATGGGGGGATAATGGGGTCCTATACGGCATCGTTCTGAGAGACTCCCACGTGGCTTTGCGGGGCGTAGTCATGGGGGACTCTAAGCGTGTGGTGTTGAATTCACGGTTAGGAAGTTGCTACAAACCTGAGTGTGATCAGAATGAGGGAACAACAAGGGGAAACTGCAAAATTGCAAGAACTATGCCAGAAGAGATCGTTATATGCACATGTGTGTGTGCGCATGACTATGAGTATATAAACACATCTGTACCTATGTGTTAATGTAGGAAGGTACGTGTATACATGGAATCGGCTCCTTGATTCTGCCTAAACCCTTCCAAAAACAGAAAACTGGAGGCAAAAGGGATACCGATCTTATGGAGCATTTCGACATTGCCACCCGTTGTGCGCAGCAAGACTTTGAGGGATTCTAAGCTGTGCGGCAGGGCAGCACAATGTCTGTCCTAATCTCTGAGCTGGCTCTCAGATTCTAGTAATCCTTCAAAAGAAAGATACCACAAATACCCATAGTTAGCAGGTTTCCTAGGCCTCATAGTTACTTAGTAGTAAAATGCACCTGCAAGACAACACCTCTAAAAGCCTTCGGGCCAGGATCACCTCGGCAACATCATGATAACATACACCAAAGAGGCCTAGGAGGATCCAGACGTTGACACCAGCAACGGCCATGGTCTTGGCAGCCCAGGGAAGGATGCCAGCTCCAAATCAGAAACACAAAAGAGGGAATGCCATTAGTTTCCATGTTCTTTTCTATTATTCCTATATAACCCCCAGTATATACCCTATATTCTCTATATAAGCCCTATAATGCGAAGCAGCACGCAGGAATCTCCAAGCTGGGGCTGAGCTGGGAGCCATCGTGGCCAAAGCCTTGCAAGAGAAGGCTAACATTTCACGCAATGCGGCCTTTCTGCGTAGAATTTCTAGAATTCCTAGTCACAAAAGACTATTACGATTACTATTACTAATACTATTACGAGTACTATTATTCCAAGTATTGTTATCATCTTGATTATTCTTATTGTTATTACGTACTCGTGAAAGGCCCATCCCAGGGCCCTGGCCGGTCCAGATGGCGCAGCTAAGCTTGGAGGAGTAAAGCCCAAGACCTGAGAGGCACACGGAATTATGGCATTATCGGAGATTCTGGTATATTGTGGTATATTATGGTACATTATGGTCTAATGGTCGCAGTGGACAATCATGATCACAGGTGTTTTCTCTTGAGCAAGCAGGTGCACGGATGGCAGCGCGTCGTAAACTTCAGGCTCCGCACGCTATGGAGCGGGATGTAGGAGCCGAAGAGAAGGCAAAATACAATATCCTCGGTGCCGGCTCTTCGCCCAGGCAGTCTGATCTTGCAAGTGAAATCAACCAGGGGCTTGGCAGAAAGTAGCCAAGCCTGTGGCAGGGAGCTCATGAGGAAAAGCGTCACCTGGAGGAGTCCGCGGCGAAGCACTCAAGTGCAATTGTAGTCAGCACGTGACACCAAGATAATCTCTGATCGCCAAGAATGAACAATACCACACACCAAAGCAGCATTGATTTGAGCCCTGAGCGGAGAGCGCCCCCTCAGCCAAAAAAGGGAGCACAAGGAGAGAAAGGAGAGAACTGCTATCTGCGCACCACTCTGCAAAAGTCAGCAGCCACCAGTCCCGCAGATTTCCCAAGCCGCGGATTTTGCACCAAGAATCTGTCAAGAAGCTCTCACAACTCTCACGACTCTGGCTTTGGAGCCGGGGTCTGGCTCTCCAGCAGAGCTGGCAGCCTCTTTACATCCACGAGGGGGAAGCACCTTACAAAGCCACACATGACAGTTTTACCCATTGGCTCACCAAGTAACATTCGTTGCTTCGTATAGAATTACATGATAATGCTGCAACCCAGCGGTGACTGCAATATCACCCTACAAAGGCGCCTATCGTGTCCTTGTTCGGGATACTACCCGCGTGATCTCACATGTGATTGGCAGCTGACTTGCGCCACTTTACAACAGACTCATCTTCTGCAGGTGGGCTGCTTTGCGAACACTGGGAAGTTCCTGTCCCGAAGCAAGGCAAACACCACCAGGCGGAACCTGAGTTTAGGGCTAAGGGGTAGGTTTTAGGATCAGGATCTAGGGTATAGGGTTTAGGGTGATTCATTCTGTGGCTGCAAAGCTCCTCCGTTCAAGTCTTTACTGAGGAAGCCGGACAACGCTGCCAAATCTCACCTGTGTAGGATAGGCACTGCCTGTGGCATGCTATTAAAACTGTGTCCTTGGTAGATGCTGTGCGAACTTCGCAAGACTCCCAGCTCCAAATGCAGGCAGGGGGCACTCCACTGAACTCGGTTGCCAAGACCTGCTGGAAGATTTGTGCCTTGAAGTATGATCGGGATTCTGAGACGAACTCATGCCATTTCCCTCATGGTTAACATGACTAACATAACGAAATGCGAGAAGCTCAGCAAAAAGGCTTAGCGCACTGTGAAACAGTCCAAAGCGAAGGCTGGGCTGGGATTGGTGCCACCGCTTCCGTCGGATTACCTCCGAACACACTGAGCTCTGCTTCAACAGAATGTCTTAAGTGACAGCAAATACAGTAAGCAGAGCAGAGCACGGCTGCAAGTCACCACCTTGTTGACGTCTTGATGATGACATGAGCAAGCCAAAAAATACAGTACGCACAAAAAGCTTGCGAGCAAAGAGCTGAAGTAGCCGCAGCCGAACGCGCCCAAGATGACGGCATCGTGGCCTAAGCGGGGTCTTGATATTGCCCTCCTATTGCTCAAGAAGCCCAGCCCTAGGCTATCACTATGCGTCCGTGGAACTTGGCAGGTAAATTGCTAGGATGCCCCATTCTAGTTGTCAAAGCATGTTGCAGTAACCGCTGCACCAACTTCTTGCAAACTTCACATCCCTTACAAAGTTGCTTTAGGATGCTCCAGGTGTCTCCAGGTTATAGAAATTACTGGCCCCTACTGCTTCTGCATTAAAGCAAAAGGCTGAGGTCGGGGCCATGCTCTCTTGCCATCCAAAGCACAGTACGGATCTTCTCCCGCAGAAGCTCCGGCCCTCAGCAGTCCAAACTTGATGGCTCATCAGCCTTGGGTCCTGAAGAAGAGCCTTGAGGGCTTAGTATGCTGGGGCATGCTCACGAAGTTAAATATGACTGGCTGGATCACAATAATCGGGCCAAAAAAAAAAGCTGTTTCCAGACCGCTAGAACAGCAGCGTGTGCATCCGCTTGGGATTATGTCAGGTGACGTCGGCCGATGAATATTGGATACAAGCACTTGAAGTGTACATTCACAGCGAAACTGTGACATGCTAGTGAACTGCACTCTCGGGCACTGCTCAGGTTACGTAGCTGTTCATCATCAATGCCAACCTGCCTGCCTTCATGCAGCATGCTCTAGTGTGCAATCACATAGGTCGACCGCTCATCTGAGCATCCGGGCTGAAGGGCGGATTTCGGGTCACATCCTGTGGACTTGCGGATTGCTATTGAGGCGACGCGCCCGTGTGTAAACTGCGGTTTTCACATCAATTTGGAACGCAATTCCAAGCCTTCTTCAGGCTATCACGAGTGAAGTAAGTACTGATCTTGCTACTGCCGGCCCTGCCTGCGCTGCAACAGTGGCCACAGCTACCTCTGCATCCGTACCCAGCAGCTGAACCTGCCAGCCATCCTGCTGCTGCATTAAAGCCTGCCTCACAATCCGGCTGCATCAGAGCAACATGAGGTGAGTAGATGCCACCGCACTCCGTGTGCTCGTAGAACGGCTCCTGTACTCTTGGACTTTCCCATTGCAAGCGGTCCGGAGGCGGCATCATCAAGACACCCTGACATCATGTGACATCCTTCCGCGGGAGAAGCGGGTCAAAATCCCCGATCCAGGTGCCGCGTTTCAGCACCCCCGGACCATCATCCTGCAGAATGAATCGCACATCTCGCACTTGCCCATGCATCCGACGTATACGACGTCAGCATGCTGGTAGCCCTCCTTTCTTCGATGCGGCCACAGGCTGAGAAAAAGCCTCAGTGAGCCGAGGCAGCACCAGAAGGAATCCTCAGCTATCCCAGAATCTTACTAGTAGCAACCTGTGACTGTTGCTAGTTGTAGCCAAGAACGAGGACGAGCGGAAGATCGCCTCTTCCTGGCTTCCCGCTGCATGCTCGAAGCCTCCATATGTACAAAGGATGGATCTTGAGTCTTGGACGTCTGTTCATGACTCAGTGGGCAAGGTTTGCACTAATTGTGGCAACTGCCAAGCCTCCGCCACAGTTGTACCCATGCGCGAAATTCAGCATGAGCACGCGCAACCCAAGATCTGGCGGCAAAAGAATCAAAACACATTCCTGATGTTGCAGCTGCTCTGACACTGACTCCTCCCTTGAAACCCCCCAAGTCACTGAAGCCCGGCAAGAGACAGCGCTTACGCTTGGTCAGTGGGAGGCCGCTTCAGCAGTCCCTTCCGGATGGGCAAGTTCTTATTGATCAGTTGCCCAACACCTCAGCAAGGACCCGCAACAATCTTAAGGGCCATCTACTTACTCTCCGGATCCTGGAGGCCTGGATAGTAGACCTTCCTATCGTCTCGCGCGAGCCTGCTGCAACTTTGGCAGCATCCAGGGTCGACGCCTGGTTTACTTCAAATTCTAAAGCTGATGGTTTCCCTCTGTTTTAGGAGCTATCTATGAGACCTGCCATTGTACATGATTCCGTGTGGGATTGCTTGAAGGCCCAGGGTTTTGAACACTGGCATGTTAAATCAAGCAACAAAGCAAGGGTTAAGGGTTGAGGCCTCAGGCTTTCAGCTTTCCCCGCCTGCCTATCTTCATCCAGAATGCAAGGCCAGCCGCCTCCATGGTACCCTGGACGGTTGGTAAGGTACCAGGCGAAGATGCCGGAGCCGGAGACCTACCAGAAAAGGAACACAGGCACAAGTCTTGGGGAGAAGAACAGGATTCCGTGGGAAGAAATACATCATGCTGCGCAAGGAAGTAAGTTGCGAGATCTTGGGGGTAGAGACGCATATGTTTTTTCTTCAACTCGGTCTGCAGCTCGGGCACGCCCGAGAGAATGTATAATTTACCGCCATCTCCATGCCTCGGTTTTAGATGTCCCGATGGTATACACACATGCGGTCGCATCCTTTCTCAAGAACACTACGCATACGACGTGGGGGTTTCCCAAAGTCAGGGGTACCTTATTGGGGGTCCCCATAATAAGGATTATAGTATTCTGCAGTCTTTATCAGGGTCCCTTTATTTTGGGAAACAATCACGTCTGTTATCCCCATGATGGCCCACATACCTTCGCCAAGGCTCGTTCCCGCTCTTCAGTAGACAGGCTCAGCAGGCGGCAAATGGTATCATGCCTGGGGACAGCATTTTCAACCTACAGGGCACTGTTACATACCTTGAAAGAACATATGGACATACGAACCCAAAATGGGAGCAAAATAGTGCACAGGAATGCTGTTGTCGGTACATGTCCAGGTCGATGACTGATCAACAACTTCTGGGTAAGCAAGTCAGGGCAAGGTGACTGAACATGACACGAGGCATGTGCCAGCGGCACCAACAACAGCAGCGCCGGAAGTATGCCAGCGGCAACGCGAATCATTGCAGCCGCTGTCATAATGATGTCAGGGAAAGCACAAACTTGAGAAACTCGTTGAACCCTAAAGCCCTAAACTCCTAAACCCCAGATAACACCTCTTCGCTTAAACCCTTCACCCACTTAAACCCTCAAACAGCGCTTCATGAACCTGTGCTGAGGCCGAATCAGAACCCCAAGACAACCCCCAAACCATGCTGCCAACTCTTAGTTCCCAGCATCTGCTGCTCAGCTCGCGAGAGGCTTGACTTTGGCTTTGGCAGCGGGCATCGCATGGCGGGGATCTGTCACAGCGGCATCGCCGCAGCGGCTGGGGCCAGATTTCTTTCAAAGGAAAAATGCAATGGACAGGTTTCTTTGGTCCGGGTGTGTCGGTTTTCAGGTTGTGCTGCCGTCCGATCCAAAGGCCATGCATAATGCACCATCTAACTGGACATGGAGCACACACACCCGCAGAAGCGATACGCTGGAGCCAATGTTCATTCAAAGCTTCTGCTCTGGGCGCTCTTCTTCTTGTACAGGCCTCACGATTGCCCGAAGCTCTCTTTCCTTGTTTCAGGGCTATAGAGGAGCCTAGTGCCCCCCCCCCACCGGGGCATTGCCCCAAGCGCGAGCGGCGCAGGGTCTCAAGAATCCCACGCAGGAGGGCCGAAGTACCGCATGTACACACATTCGAAATACACACAATGAACACAACGACTATATGCTCTCACAAAGGGGACCCTGTTTCGGGACACATGCGCACAAGCCTCTGTCCTACTCGACTGGGGTTCTGAAAAGGCGAAGCTCTCTCTCTCCCTCTCCTTTCTTTTGCAGGGCACGCGAACCCCTTGCATGGCTCGTCGTGCTTTCACCCTCTTCTTTCTTTCTCCCTCTATTCTGTAATCAGGAATACATCCACGTTCAAACAAGCTGGGACTCGCAGACTCATGCAGACTGCACCGCACTGCCAGGCTCCACACGTTCATGATCATGAGCTCGTGGTCACCGCGGTCTGCAACAAAGGCAAAGATGCCCGGCAGCGGCCTGAGCAGAAGGGTCTCATGGTTGCTTTGAAGAAATCAAAGGTTTTTTGTGTTTTTTGTGCCTTTTTTGGGACTGCCCCCTAACAAGGGTTGCAATCAAGGGGGTTCATATTGGAGCACTGTTCATGGAAACAACCATGTTGCAAGTGAACACTCCAGGAGCCCTGCAGAAGCACGCGCCAAAGATCTCTTCTGCTGGCACCAGAAGCCAAGAACTCACCGTCGAAGGACTTCTGCAAGTACCTGCACAGGACCAGCGATATTGCATAGAGACCTGCGAGCTCTTGAAATTCTGGAGATGGCCTCTGGATCTCAGAGCAGAAAGCCTTGCAATCCTTCAGCGAGGCGGACAGGAATGCCTGCAAGATGTGCCCTATGGGACAATGCTACCGGAATACCGCCATCTGCGCACTCCCCTAAGTAGACTCTAGGCTAGCCTCTGTCAGGGTCATTACATGAACTGATCAGTACAAGTGCTATTGTATGGCTTGCATCTGGACAGGAAATGCTCAGACATCGGCACGTAGCATCCCGCCCTTTGATGGCCGTTCCTCGTTTTGGGCACTCACTTGCAACGATGGCGCATGTCTGCCATCACAAGACTTAAAACTGATCGACGTTCACACGCCAATCTGAATCATTCGGGCAAAGTAAAGTGGCAATTCCCAGTCAGAAATGTTGGACTCTGATGCAACTTCCAAGCGACGTTGGGTGAGTAGTTGACAGGATAAGCATCAACAACCATGCTCCTCAAAGGGAAACTCGAGAAGGCTCAGCATCCCTGAAAAAGATGGCACCGGACTCTAAAAAGCACCATGCTAGTCCTCCCCTGTTCCGCTGCGACTACCATGGCGAGTCGCCGAGCCCAGGCTTGAGTAGAAATGGCGCAAGAGAGAAGCTACTGAGATACTGCCGAATTGCATGCTTCTGCTGCAGCAACCTGAACCTCTGCAGGAAATCTAAGATCTAAGGTGGCACCAGCGCTTTTCGCTTTCGCTTTTACCAGGTAAGTTGCATTCCTAGCTAGGCGCAGGGGAGCGCACTTCTGATGGATTCGGGGAATCCTCTGGGGCCTGGGGAAACTTCCAAGGCACTCCCTCCGATTCTTCATCCTCCTCCTTGCTCTGCCGCTCCTTCGCCCAGAGTGGCCGGCAAGCTCTGTAAGCCTCAGCTCTCATAGAACAATGAAGGATCCCAAGACAGCACCTAGGCTTGACAAGCCCAGCCGCATATCCATGCTGCGTGGTTCACTCGGCCACACAGGCTGTACAATTGACAAAGACTTGGTATCACAGCCGGGAGAACTGGCACAAATCAACTGGACAGCGACTGAACTACATCTGGGCAGAGGCAAGGAACGGTGTGTGCTCCCACTGAGCAAAGCAGGAGCTGGAAGCCTGCATATGTGTTGCGCCCCCCGAAGTCGACCAAAAAGCGTCCGACGATGTCGCCCATGAAGCGGGTCAGGCTGATAAGCAGCAGCTTCAAGAGCTGAAACTGTGCCTGGCAAGTCTACCAGCCATTCGCTGAGCTGTATCTTCACTGTAGACTGTAGACTAGTCCCGCCCAGCGGATTTTCTCAACATTTATCATGCAAAGTCCTGCCCCTTGTGTATAGTCTAGCCCCCAACAGCCTCAGCGTCTGGGAGGCTCTGAATTGAGCGGTGAGCTTTCTATGCATTTAAGCATGCTCTCCGTCTCTCCCTCAACACAATCTCAGAGACCGGCCTGGCCGATCGAGGTGCCTTCCTTTGCTGCCCGTGCCCCCCAACCATCTGCGATGCTGTTGGCCAGGGCAGCTCCTAGGACTGGATAAAAAATTGCAGGGCACCTAGCCTCCTGAACTGAGAACTTAGAAAGCTGAGGTGAAACAAATCCCAAGGCTCCGGTGTAAATCACTGTGCCCGCAGCGATGAGGGTCGCTGGGCCTGCATGGCCTTCATCGAAAAGCAGAGCGCAACCGATCACTGAGGCAATCATGGATGAGAAGTAGACAGAGGACTCCTGCAGGTAGCCCGTGTTGATCATGACCTTTGTGACGACAGCCAGGACAATGCCAACCGGGCACATAACTGTGAAGCAGAAGCCACAATGATAAGCATCCCAGCCATAGAGGACCTCGAGCATCATGGTTGTTGAGACTTCAACCGCTGCAAGCGTGAATGGCCGCTCACCAAAGTGGGCCACCATCTTCCAATACACGGTTTGACGGTCTGGCTCATCCAGCTCCTCAGGCCGGGCCTCCCCTGAAACTTGGGAGGCGGACCCCTCATTCTCTGTAGGAGTGGCTGGCGGCAGCACGGGGGGAAGTTCGGTTGGCATTAAGAAAGTGCAAACCGACAGGGAGACCAAGGTGAAGCCAACTGAGTAGATATAAACCCAGGCCATCATACTTCGAGGACTCACCGGCTCGCCGCCGGCAATGACCCCCCGGCTCATCAGTGAAAAAACCACAGGCCCAACAGTCATACCAGCACTACGGGCACACTGACCCAAGAAACTCCAAACCGTACGATTGCCTGGATGGGTGGCTTTGGTCCACAAGACAGTGAGCGCAATCATTGGGATAGACGAAACAGAGTTCAAGATACAAGTCCCAACGATACCGGTCCACCAAATGAAAGATACTTCATTGCTCTTTGCAGTCCAGTTGTAGAAGCAGGCCAGGACCAGTGACATCAAAGTACTGAACGAAAAAATGGTAATCAGCAGCCTCCGTACAAAGAATTGCGACCAGGCAGTTTCACTGATGAGCGGCCGCCCAATAATCGTTCCTAGAACTCCTGCAATCAAACTGAGCCCCATGTAGAGTCCAGATGCCGTGGCGGATTGGCCGAGGGAAGCTGCAAAGTCCAGGGAAAGCGGTATTACCATGGCAGACAGCAAGAAGCCACTGAAGCCTGGGTTCAAGACTCTGGCTTGAATTAAACAGGATCCCACCTTAAGGCATTGGGGTTCAACTGTAACACAGGTTTCTCAGGCCAGCAATTATCTCTGAGAAGGTGGCTCCTCGTGATCTCCTTAGAATCCCTCGCGATCCCCAAAGTCCCCCAAGGAGCCACGTTTTTGGGAAATCCCAATGTAGCTATCAGAAATCCACAAGAGCAAACCGACATCCGCCAATCTGCTTGCCCATACCGTTAAGATCTGGCATGCCTTTCGCTGCAAGGGCACGCTCCTAAGTTGCTGTTAGGAATTTCAACTAAGACATTATACTTATTGTACATAAACTGGTTTCGACATCATGGTAAATGAAATTAGGTTCCTGAACAGCAACCCAAGCTCTGCACCCAGATCTGCTTGTTTTTCGACACGTACTGCTCGTGCACAAAGATTGCAATCAAAAAGGCTGCCACCACAAGGAAAATCCACACATTGAAGTTGACGACTCTCCTGGGCTCTGCACCACTGCAGGAGGAAAACATCCAATTACTTCGAAGCATATGGAAACATTCTGCCACTTCACCGACCAGCAAGTGCGCCCACGTTGCTGGGTACGGCAAAGGCCTGCGATCCAAAGATCCTCAAACCCTTGCCCCGAACACCCGCACAAACGTGAACACCCGGATGCTTTTGGACCAGCCACAAACCCTGCATAGCCCTGCATAATCCCTGCATAACTCCTATATGACCTTGAGAGCTGAAGACAAGTCACTCACCAAGCACTGCAGGCTGCATTCTTGATGCAGGCGGGTCAGAGACATGGCTGGCAAAGCGTCCAGCCTCATGCTGGTGCTGGCCTGAGTCCAACTTACCAGCGGTTGGCAAGGCTTCTTGAGTACCATCAGGGGCCGAAGACTAGAGGGAGCCTCAGCAAACAAGTTTCAAACCCTTTCTGGCTCTAGGCGAAGCCGGCACAGGCAATGCGACTTGAAGAAGGCATGCGAAGGCCTTTAACCACGCCACAAGTCTACAATCAAAGCTAAGCAGAATAAGAAGAGATTTGTTAATTCCAACCCCAGAAGTGGAAGTCAATTGGAGTCACACGACAGGCATGGGGTCCTGGCGTTGGTTTGTTTCGGGTCAAACAGTCTTGGCAGCCTACATGCTGGAGGCTTTGGGCACCAACAGTCTGATGCACAAGTGCAGCAAAAGGATGAAACGCAGTGGGCATGTAAAATGTTCCGATCCATTGTAGTAGTTGTGGTTTTCTTTTCTGTTGTGATGGTTTCCGTGTCCCTTTCTATCAGTTCTGTCCCGATCAAAGCCCAAACCTGCGCATAAGAAGCATCAGAACCATGACCATCATGCAAGCCAGTGGCTGAGGCCAAGCACTACAGCGTGCTGGTCTCTTCCAAGCCAGAAGTCTTGCTGCAGGAAGCTACTGGCATCGTCACATTCTTCCTGCAACCTTGGGAAAAACTAGCATAGGCAGCAGGCAAAGACTGCAGTGGTACATCTGGGTGCCTCACATCTCCTTCCGTTCTGTGAGGCTCTCCCCAACGGCAGACTTTGAGATGGAGAGCCAGTAAACCAGTCCCACTAGCTTCCGGGACCTCATATGGACCTCAGCTTTGCACCAGCCCAGCTGCACCTATGCTGAAGTGCAAACAAACTCTGCAAAGCAAGCAGCAGTTCGGTGAAGGGGTTCAGTCGTTTGCAATGCACGTGGAACATGTCCACGTGAACTTGAGCCGGCCCAGTGGCAATGATCAAGTGGCTATTACATGAGCTGCTAAAAGTGCAGCATGATTCACAAACCTGAGTAGCAAGAAGCATTCCGATCTCTCTGCTGGCTTGCAGTGAAGGCCTGGTGCCGCTTTTTCGTGCTCTTGGGTCAACAGCGCTGAGGTTTAATGATCAGGATGCCGCTGAGAAACCTGCTTCTGCAACGCAGCACACGGCAAGCTACTTGCGGCCGGGTTCTCATCCCGAATGCCGTCAAGAAAGCGGCCCGAGCTTTGACATGCTGCAGTTCAGTCTAGGGAACGTGCAACAGCCGGATCTGTACGCACTTAAATCGCAGACAGCTCCTTGCAGGGTCCAAGGCCAGCAGGCGCAGCGACCACCCGAAGTGGATGACAGGTTGTCCAGGACTGCAGTCTGCAGCGAATCCAAGCACAGCCCTGCTCATGGATGACGGCAACGAAAGATCACACCAACGCTTCGCTCAAAGCCTGCAACGTCCTTAGTTTTGCCACCTTCTGCCAGTGGTTGCAACTCCCTGCGGATACTCAATAAACAAAGATTGGTGTAGCCAAGCATCTGCTTACGGCCCTCTGCCGATGTGCACTCGACAACTGCTTCCACAGCTTGAGGATCATCACTAGCAGCGTGGTTGAGAATGATCCTGCAAATCAGTTGGGCCCCTGATCGGGGCTGGCGCGACTTAAGGAAACCCGTCTAAGAAATGAGTCAGGTGCGAGCTCCTCATGAATTCTGCTTGCTTCCATCATTAGGTGGTTGCGTCATCCCGCATATGACACGGCATTTGTGTCTAAAGCTTCCGTGAGCAAAAATGGTACCCACAGTCAAAAAAATGGTCAAACAAACAACAGCCCGGATTGTGCCAAGGGTTGCTTAACTCAACATTGCACGGACCTTCAGCGACACCAGGCCAAAGATAATGGCAGCATTACACCCAACCACAGAAAATCAAGCAGATGGCCAGACCTACCCAGCTATGGATACCACTTGAACAGGAACAAGCTTCTCGGACCGACAACTGAACCCAAGGCTGAAGGCCAACATACCTGGCGCGGCAAATTCAGCATCTCTCACCAACAGCGCGCAGGTTTTCTTTTCTTCCCGTCATTGCGCGACCCGCCCCCCTTCCCAGCACATGTGTGTCTTGAACATTTTTAGCATGCATGCTAATTCACATTGCGACTTGCGAGTGATTGGGGCCGGCCTGTTGGCCTGTTGGCCTGGTGTTTTAATGCCGGGCGCGGGATTTAAGACGTGTTTAGACGTCAATGCTTTTTTAAAGGAAAAAGCGCCTTGGGGGTGGCTTCAGTGCGTTTTTTTTCGAATTTGGGTGGCTTTCAAAGCTTTAAAGAGGTTCCCCTGCCCGGTTTAGGGTTTTCTGGATTTGAGAGGGATACTTGGAGTTCGATCCCGGGTAGATTTCAGAGTTGTTGAGGGTTCTGCCTGTGTTGCGGCTGAAGTTACATGGGCGCCTCCTTCGCAGGGCTGGCACTAGCTCAGTCCACCATCTGTTCTGGAATACAGGGAGGCAGCTCACCAGGCCTAAATTAGCAGGACAACGATCAACTTCTGCAAAACAGATTCCCTCTCGGGGCCTCAGCACAGTAGGCTTTATGGAGGAACAGCGGAAAGTGACCCCAGGCACAATCCTCCTGGGTTCCCTTAAGCACCGCAAACAGGCTCTAGACTATGTAAAACCCACAAATTACCAGCCCTTTCAAGAAAATTGCTTGACGTCTTGAATCCCGCGCTCGCCCTAATTTTGCCTGTCGAGCCCATGCAGAGACGGAGCTCTGAACAGGAATCCGCGCGGGCGCAAACATTGTATCTAAATGTTGACTTTGGGGGGTTCGGACGGAAACTGCCTCCTGTGAACAGGAGATGTCAACGCGCGATAGCACTCGGCCTCCCTATCAAAGGTACTACCTACAGATTGAAAATAGCCGTCAAGCCCACCACGGCACCAAAGCACTATGACGAACACTTGCCTTGCAATTGCTTTCTCTTGCTGTGATTGCTCTCTTCTTGTGGCGACACATGCCAACCCACTCTCCTTGCATTCAATGAGGGCACGGAAAGTTCGAATCCGGGTTGCTTTGCTCCTGACATGAATCGAGTTGGAAGGCTCCGGAATTGCTGAGACAGGGTTTCCGCATGATCCGTACGGATCCTGGGAATCACAATTGTCTTGGTTTGTAATTTGTAAGGAAGTCATCCATGATGGTATGGGAATTTAACACAATTTTTGCGTGGACTCTTAGCCTCCCTCCCCACACTAGCATGCAATAGCATGAATGTTCCGTTAAAAGCTACAGGCGCTGAAAGGCAGCAAAGAACTTGCACCATGTCAGTGGCTGAAAAAGCAGTATCATCATGTGGGTACAGTACAGAGCTGAGAGGCAAGACATGGCAAGACACTCTCAACATCAAGAGCATCCAGACGGACAGCCCGTCGCCTCTGTCAGCGTCCACTTCCAAGCCTTTCCTTTCCAAAGCAGCTCTGATGGCCTGCATGTACAGAGCTCTCTGCTGAGACAGACCACAAGACCCTTTACGCTGGTCTGGGAATGGGAAGGGAATGCTTGAATTCGTGAATCCTCCAGTTCTGGGTTTCAACCACTTGTTGATCTATGCTGGAATATAGTTGTCCCAGAAACACAACACAAACTCCAAGAATCTTTGATACTAGGCAGGCTGGGCCCGGCTAGGCAACAAAGCCGAGCTTAGCCCATGCCTGCTCAAAAGCGGGCTTACGGAGGATGCGATCCTTGCGCCCGCGCCTCCAAACTCACGTTGCTGGCTGGTGCCGAGCCTGCGGGCATCAGCCCGGAGATTCGCGGCCTCCCGGCAATGTCGGGCTGCATGGGTGCGCATGACTCGCTTGCCAAATGCGACAACAAATAAGTTTCCCTCAGTAATCTGCAATGACGGACTAGCACAAAAAAAGAGCAAACAAGACTGTGAACCTTGCACACCGTGCTTTGCGAGCAAATGAAACACAGTTGGAGCAACCCGCCTCCGACGCCCCACAAAGGCACCCTCCAGCAAAGCTTCGGCAGGACGCTTCCCTGCAAACTTTCGCAAGGTGTGCTCAGTAGCTACTACTGCGACAGCAGGAGCGTGGAGGGGGTAGTCGGAATGGAGTTGGTACAGGGCTTGCTAGGTCATCACAAAAGGTATCCTGGCACCTGGAATAGGAATCCGAGACGAAATCTGTGAAGCCCTAAGGGCGCACGCTGCCTTCTTGAACTTGCGCAAGCTGGTCATTCGGTAGCCAGCACTGCACACGAGGAACAGACCTGACAAACGTGATTCTCAAGTGTTCTGGGCGGAGTCCCTGACAGCTCTTATGCTACGAAACCCCGATATAACTCCAGTTTCCATTTCATGGTCCTTTTTGTTTTCCATTTTGCTCTACAGTTCAGGGTTTGGGCTACCCAAATCCTCTTGTTATTCACCACCTCTGCAGTTGTCATGGGCTGCTAGGCAAGGTGCAAGTTCACCGGAACGTCCACTAGCATCGCAGGCGGCAAGATCACTTGCGAGCTTGGTGCCTGCAGATGTCCCAGGAGGTTTATGCACTCGCAGCTGTGTTGTGGGACCGCATGCACAACTAGGTCTCCCTCATTCGGGCTGTGCTTCTGCCTACATGCAAAACTATTACCTCTATATTAACTACTATTATTACTATTATTACTATTACTACTATTCTTACTTCTTTGAACACTACTATTATTTACTCTCCA